TCTCTCTCTCTCTCTCAAAAATAAATAAACACTTTAAAAAAAATAAAAATAAATAAATATTAATTTGAAAATCAATAAAAATATAAGTCCATTGAAAAAAAATCAGTGAAATTGACAAACATCTAGCCAGAGTGGCAAAGAAAAAAGACACAAATTAGTAATATTAGGAATGAAATGGGTAATTCTACATACTTTTAAGATAGAAAAAGGATAAACAGAATTTTTAAAACAACTCTACATGGACAAATTTGACAATTTGGATGAAATGGATTCCTCAAAGGGTGTAAATTATCACAACTCACCCAATATGAAATAGACTACTTGATTAGCCCTATAACTATTGAGAGAATCAAATTTGTCATTAAAACTGCCCTCCAAAAGAAATCTACAAGTGCCCAAAGTTTACAGTTAACATCACACTTAATGGTGAAAAATGTAATGCTTTCCTCCTGAGATCAGGAACAAAACAAAATATACACTTTGACTACCTTTATTCAATTTGTACTGGAATTTCTAGCTAATGCAAAAAAATAAGAAAAGGAAATAAAAGTAACATACAATCAATCATCAGTATTGACAATCCGAAAGAATCTACATAAACAGTCTTACAACTAGTAAGTGAGTTTAACAATGTTTCTGGATACAAGATCAACATACAAAAATCAATTGTGTGCATATATAGGTAAAAGTGAACATATTGAAACTGAAATTAAGCATATAATACCATTCTCAATCAATCAAAATATCAAATATTTAAATATAAATCTAACAAAACATGTATAGGACTTTTATGCTGAAAACTACAAAACATTGATGAAAGAAATCAAAGACGTTCTAAATAAATGGAAAGACATCTGTGTTAATGGACTGAAAGACTCAACAGAGTAAAAATGTAAATTCCTCGAAAATGATATGAAAGTTTAACATAATTCTTACAAAAGTTTCAGCAATATTTTTGATGTAGACAAGAAAATTCTAAAATTCATATGGAAAGGAAATACGTTAATTTAGTTAAAATAATTCTGGAAAAAATACTGAAGTGGAAGAAATCCACCTACCTAAAATCAGGACTTATTGTATAGCTATAGTAATCAAGACTGTGGGGCACCTGAGTGGCTCAGTTGGGTAAGTGTCCGACTTCAGCTCAGGTCATGATCCCACTGTTCGTGGATTCAAGCTTATGCTGACAGCTCAGAACATGGAGCCTGCTTCAGATTCTCTCTGCCCCTCCCGCACTCATTCTCTCTCTCTCTCTCTCTCTCTCTCTCTCTCTCTCTCAAAAATAAACATTAAAAAGAAAAGACTGTGTGGTAGTCACAGGAAGATACAAATGCAGATCAGTGAAAAGGGTTAGAAATAGTCCTGCACAAGTATAGCCAGCATAGTTGATTTTTGACGAAGGTGCAAAAGCAATTCAATGGGGAATGTCTTTTGAAAAAATGGTTCTGAAATAATTTGATATCCATATTAGGCACAAATGAACCTTGACCAAAACCTCGCACCTTATACAAAAATGAAATCAAAATGGATCACAGATTTAAATGTAAAATATAAAACTATAAAATAAATTTTAGAAGATAAAATAAGAGGCAATCTTTAGGACCTAAGGCTTGGTGAAGTATTCTTAGAAATGTCACTAAAAGCACAATCCATAAAAGAAAAGAAAAAAAAAAACAAAACAAGAGCTTGGAATTCATCAAAATAAAAAAAATAAAAAAAACTTTTTTTCTGCAAAATACCAGAATAGTGAAAATAAAAGCTACAGACTGGGATAAAATATTGCAAAACCACATTTCTGATAAGAACTCCTACCTAGAAAATATAAAGAACTCTTAAAACTCAACATTAAAAAAAAAGTCAATTAGAAAATGAGCAAAATGCATGAAGAATCATTTCAATGAAGAGAGTGTATGGGTAGCAAATAAGCACATGAAAAGATTTTCAACATCACTAGGCATTGGGGAAGTCAAATTAAGAACTCAAGGATTGGGGCACCTGGGTGGCTCAGTCGGTTGAGCGTCTGACTTTGGTTCAGGTCATGGTCTCACAGCTTGTGAGTTTGAGCCCCGCATCGGGCTCTGTGCTGACAGCTCAGAGCCTGGAGCCTGCTTCTGATTCTGCGTCTCCCTCTCTCCCTGCCCCTCCCCCACTCATGCTCTGTCTCTCTCTCTCTCAGAAATAAATAAACATTAAAAAAGTTAAAAAAAAAAAAAAGAACTCAAGGATCTATCACTGCATGCACCAGTGAAAATGATAGTCTTTTTCATTACTAAGAATACCAGATGCTGGAAAGAATGCCAAAAAAACTGGGTTTTTCATACATTGCTGGGAGAAATGTAAAATGGTACAACTTTTCTGGAAACAATTTGACAGTTTTTCATGAAACTAAACATGCAATTACCATATGGCCAAGCATTTGCATTCTTGAGCATTTGTCCTGGAGAAATGAAAACTTAACATCTGCACAAAAGCTTGTTCATGACTGTTCATGACTGTTCATGAAGTTTTAAGGGCCCTTAATTGGAAGTAACTTGTGTCCTTTGATGTGGGAATGATTAAACAAACATTGCAAATAAATTGGAAAAAAAATAGTTCATAAATATCATGTAATACAACTTAACAATAAGAAGGAATGGAGTATTGATACATGTAACTTGAAAAAATCTTCAGGGCGCGTGGGTGGCTCAGTCGGTTAAGCTTCTGATTTCTGCTCAGGTTGTGATCTTGCGGTTTGTGGGTTTGAGCCCTGTGTCGGTCTCTGTGCTGACAGCTCCGAGCCTGGGGCCTGCTTTAGATTCTGTGCCTCCCTCTCTCTCTGCTCCTCCACTGCTCACGCTCTATCTCTCTCAAAAATAAATAAGCATTAAGAAAGTTAAAAAAAAGAAAAAGTCTTCAGAAAATTATGGTGAGTGAAAAAAGCCAACTTCAAAAAATTACATACTATGACTCCATTCATAAAACATTCTTGAAATGACACAATTAAAGATGTGGAAGACAGATTAGTGGTTGACAGTGGTTGGGAATAGTGGATAAAAGAAGAAGAAGAATAGTGTGATAAAGGAACATAGAAGTGTACATACATACTGTGTAATTTCAATTTAATGTTTTAATTATTGTGATACAATTAGGTTAAACATAAATTGGAGAAAGCTGAGTGAATTTACCTCTGCCACTTCCTGTGAATCTAAAAATATTTTACTATAAAAAGTTTTAAAAATTGGTTCTGAGTCCAATGAAATGAAATTTTACAAATTTTGAAATACCCAAGTAACCATTAAAGAGCTGAAGTTAATAGAAGTTACATTTTCATCAAGGAAGAACAAGGTTGGAAATGGCATATGAACGATAACTACCTGTCTGGTCCCTGTAGAAAAGAACTAATTTGTGTTTTGTTTCAAAGATTTGGTGGGTTATTTCTACAGAAAAAGAAAACCAAAACCAAAAACAAAAGTTTGTGAATTTTTAACTAATTTTAAAAGATATAATCATTTATATTAAATAAGTACTTTCTCAAAAAATAACATTGATATTTATCATTTATCAAAATATTAAATATATTTTGTTTAATTTCCCTTCAAGGTTGTTCTGTTTGAATTATGTTTGCTTTATAAACATGAATATCTGCTTATAAATGTTTTGTTAGCCCTTTATTCAACATTGTATTTGACATTTTTGTACATTATAGTATGTAAAATCAGTAAAATGACCAATTTCAAAAGTGAAAAAAAATAAAGTCTAAAAAAATTGTCCTGCAATAGGCTGCATGTTTCTTGAATGTCTGAATATTTAGATAAATGTTACCTTTCTGCTAATAGTATGTTTAAAATGAAAGCATAATTACTTTTATTTTTGCTTATTGACTAATAATTAAATTTTCTTATTCTAGGTACCTATTTATTTCTAATCATATTTTGTGCAGCATCCATTTATTATTTTAATGGCCAAACCTGCTAAAGGTTCTATGTTTACAAAAATTCCTTTTGTATTTCTCTTATAAGACTTGGATTGGGAATAGAAGAAGGAAATATCGTTTAATGGGGATTGAAGTTCCACCTCCAAGAGGAGGCCCTGCTGATTTTTCTGAGCAGCCTGAGTCTGGTTCTTTGTCTGCACTCACATCAGGAGAGGAAGCTGGTCCAGAAGTAGGGGAGGATAATGACAGAAATGATGAAGTATCCATCTGTTTGTCTGAAGGAAGCTCTCAAGGTATTTTATATGCTGCACTTCCTAATAATAGCCTTTGTAACTTTGATGGATTTTTAACTTGCTTTTCAGCTAATTGCATTTCACATCTAAAGTTCTCAAAACATTTGGTTAAACGTTTGAAAATAAATTGATTTATTTTTATTTATTTTTATTTTATTGATATGTATATACACATATATACATAATGAAATGATTACTGCAGTCAAAATAATTAACATATCCATCTCCTCACATAGCTACCATTTATGTGTATGGTAAGAACACCTGAAATCTACTCTTAGCAAATTTCTAGAATGCAATATAGAATTGTTAACTGTAATAACCATATGCATTAGATCTCTAGACTTATTCATCCTACATAATTGCAAATTTGTATCCTTTGACCAAATTCCCCCATTTTCCTGATCTCCCCACCATGGTAACTACCATTCTGTTCTCTGCTTCATTTGACTTTTTATGATTCCATGTATAAGTGAGATCATGCAGTATTTTTATTTCTGTGCATGGCTTATTTCAGCTAACATAATGTCCTCCAGGTTCATTCTTCATGCATTATATATACAGTATATAAAATCTCAGTTATGTGGGGAATCTAAATATAATATTATATAATCTCAATTTCTTTATTTATTCATTAGTCAACAGGTAATTAGGCTGTTTTCATATTTTTACTACTATAAGTAATGCTGCAAAAAATGTGAAGCACAGATAACTCTTAGAGGTACTGATTTTATTTATTTCGGTTATATATCCAGAAGAGGGATTACTGGATCATGTGTAGTTATATTTTTACGTTTTTAATGAACCTACATACTCTTTTCCATAATGACTATACCAATTTGCATTCTGACCAATGATGTACAAAGGTTCTCTTTCCTCTATATCCTCACCAACACTCTTTGTCTTTTATCTTTTTTATTTTATTCTTAATGCCTCCACCTAAAGAGTCTCCCACACTGAGTCATCACAAGGAACACTTATGTACCACAATAACGATCTCTCACATTTAGAAATGTTGTTTATTACAACAATCCATAATTATAATTAAGTACATGATTGTTTTTATTTTATTGAAACTCTAACCAATTTAGCTTTGAATGTTATAAATGTATTATAATAAAAAAGGATATGGTATAATGTGATATGCACCAGGGTAGTAGTCAGGCAACCTCAGTACAAGTCCTGGATCTTCCACTAGCTGATTATGTGACTTCGGGCAAAACATTTAATTCATGGGGCTTTAGTTACACATCTGTAAAATAAAGGAATTAGCCTGGGTCATTTCTATAACATTTCTTAGTTTTTCCCTAATGAGAATTCAAATAATTGGATGTACTTTTTCAATGAACACTTATATTGAGGTTTAATTTACATATCATAAAATTCATTGATTGTAAATGTAGAATTCAATGAGTTTTAGTAAATTAGAGTATGCAACTATCACCATCACTAAAATCCAACTTTAGAATATTTTCACCACTTCAAAAAATTTCTTTGAGCCCACTTGTAATCAATCCTCATTCCCACTTCCAACACCAGGCAACCACAGATCTGCTTTCTGATAATATAAACTTGTCTTTTCTGAGTATCTCACATAAAAGCAATCATACAATATATAGTATTTTTGCATCTGAGAGAAACATAGGGAGAGAGAATCTTGCAATGGCCCATTTTGTTTGTTTCTATTTTACTGGATCAGAATATTAACAATATAGTTTCCAGTTTAATTTTTGCCTTTTAAATTTGATTATGGACTTTCTCATGCCAGAACTTTTGCTTGTAATATTTATGTTGCCGAATATATCAGTCCTTTTCTTTATGATTTCTGACTTTGGTATTAAGATTACAAAGTTCTTCATTGTACCACAATTATGTAAACATAACCCTATATATCATCTTATATCTTATGGTTTCATTTTTACAACTTGATATTTATTCTGCATAGAATTTATTTTTACTTAATATTTGTGAGGAAAATACCTAATTTTATTTTTCCAAATGGTTAACCAGTTGCCCTTACACTATACGTTAAATAATCCAGCATTTTACTAGTGAGTTTACTTGTAGCTTTTTATCAAGCTTTATACATACACATGCATGCGCACACACACACACACACATACACACGTATATGTATATATATATATATTTTGGATTTTCTATTTTGTTACATTGATCTGATTGTTTATGATTTTGGCTTTATAAAATATCTAAATATCTGGTAGGACTCTGATTACTCTTCTTAGTTCTTGCAGCACAGATTATTCTAGATTAATTTTAGAATTGCTTAATCATACCTTTCCCCAATCCCTCTTGCCAAATATCATTTAAGCTTTTTTTATTGGTACTGAATTAAATGGATAGTAAATTGTGGAAAGATAGAAACAGTTTTCCCTGTGTTGAGTTTTAGATGATGTCAGGATATCAATGTGGAGCTGTCCAGCAGACCAATGGATAATGTGGGTCTGAAACTCAGAAAAGGAGTTAAGATATGAAAAGAAATATAGGAGCTACTCACATTGAGGCTGAACAAATGTCTAGCCATAGAAATAGAAGATTTAATTAAGTGAGAAAATGGAAGACAAGAAAGGAAGATAGACAAGGGCTGTATGTTAAGAAATATCCAGATTTGGGAGCTAGGGGAGAAAAGGGAGGCAATGAAAGAACATTCAGATATAGGAGAAACAGGATATTATGATATTATTAAAACCAACGAAAGAGAGAGATTTCAGAAGAAAGAAGTGTCATTATATAAATCATCTTTTGGAAGGTGAGTAGAAAGTCCTCTCATATGAGGCATTTAAAATGGTCAAAGGTATATAAGTGGACAATATAATGGTAGTACCAGAGGATGGGGAGAGGAATATGAGGAGTTGTTGTTCAATGAATATAAAGTTACAGTTATACAACTGGAGTATAACTGTTGAAAAACATATTGCATATAGTTAGCAATAAGGGGCTATAGACTTAAAAAAAAGAAAACTTAACAGGGTAAATCATTAAGTTGTTCTTACCAAAAAAGGAGGGACACAAGAAAACTTTTGAAGGTGATAGATATGTTCATTACCTGGATTGTGGTGATGGTAACATGAGTACTGATATGTCAAACTCACCAAATTGTTTATATTTATTATGTGCATTTTATGTACACCAGTTACACCTTAATAAAGCAGAAATATTAAAATAAACTTTAGAAACAATGAGAAACCATTGAATTGGTGCTTAAGGGCTTCTTTCAAAAGCAATGTGTGTTGCGAGGGGTAGGCAAACAGATTGCATTAGGTTGAGTAATGAAAGGGGTATTAAAGCTCTTGGTATTGCCAGGGCCATGTATTTTAATACTAAGTCTTTGAAAAGATGTGTGAATATTCAACTGCTCTCTCTCTCTCTCTCTCTCTCCCCTCCCCTTCTCTCTCTCTCTGTGTCTTTACCAACATTTACTGTTGGCTTTGATGAAGATGATAACAGGATTTAGTGTACAGAAAACTGTGAAGCAAGAAAAAGGAAAAGATGTTGCATCTTTTCCAAGTCCCTTATTTATAATCTAGTTGGTCCATTAAACCAAAAATGGACCAACTTCTATTAGTCTGTTACCAAAGACTATTAGTCTTTACTAAATTGTATGTGCCTGGTAATACTTGAATATTTTCAGTGATTTGGGAATAGATATTTATTTATTTATTTTAATATATGAAATTTATTGTCACATTGGTTTCCATACAACA